TTCAAAAAAGAGGCTTCATTCCTACGTAGTCACAGCCTAGTTTCCTTAAAAACCTGTGGAGAGGAACTTTGTTGAAAGGTTTTAGAAAAGTATATTATATCAATGGGACCATCCATGCCCATGTGCTTATTGCCTTCAAAGAGCTCCAAAAGGAGTTTAAGACTTGAAGAAGACTGAAGATTGAATAGATAGTTTTACAGAAATATAAAGTATTAATTGTTGTTTTAATAGTCCTAACAGAGCTCTTCTTCATTTTCCTTCTTTGTGTTGATGTCTTTTTCTTCCCTGTTGAGGACCAGGGCAGAAATATAGATATTCATCCTCATTGTGGACATTTGGCTGCCCCTCTCACGCATCTCCTTCTGAGGTCTCAGCCTTTGCTCTTTGCAAGTTGTCTTACTGTGCTGTTTGTCTGACATCCTGTTTGGACCATGCTGCAGGATGAAATCAGTCACACTAGGAGAAAAATGTGCTGCTTTGTGCATGCTTGTTTTAAGCAAAGAGGGAAAGGACTTTCCTGCGATCACTTGATATCCTTATATCTTAAGGAATGATAAAGACTGATCTCATCACTTGGTTGTAGTCCAGAAGAATGTCTCAGGCGTTGATCAATCACTGATGTTCCAGAACACAATGCAAGAAATCTGTCTATGTGCATAAACTCTGCATGTTTGAACTCTCTTCCTAGCACATGGCCTGAACACATGACCTCCTCCTAACACATGATCTGAAGCTCTTGCAATTATTTTGCATCAAAACAATTGCAAGGATCTGCCTGAGAAGTTATCTTGCAGATGCTGTGCCTCACCAGTTTCAGGGCATCTGAATCTGGCTTGTTTCTAGCCCCCATGTAAAGATCTCCATTGCTCACGTGTCATTATGATAATTGTTCCTCTGTTTCTCCTCACTCTGAGTGGGATTTCTTACCAGTGTTACATAGAAGCATTTCTCTCTAGATCTTCCAGGTTACTATGGATGTGCTTGATGGATGTACTGGAAAGTATTTCACTTGTAAAGAAAAGAAATGCTATGTAGTGTCCATGTCCATCCTCCCCCCCACCCCTGGTTTTAATTTTAAAATTCTTTTTTTGGGACTGCAACATCCTGGAGGATGTAGGAAGGGAAACAAAGCTTTCTTCAATGTTTCCTAGCTAACCTGATATACTATGCCCAACACTGAGAAACCCATCTCTGGATGATTTTTGAATTAAAAAAAAATCATAAAATGTTGAACTTAAAAGCCTAAACATGGCTTGATTTCAGTTTGATCACACAGTTAATAACCACATCCTTTATGCCCAGTTTCCCTATCTTTCCTCTGATGTACAATAACAATTCCAGGTAGTTTCCTCGGGAGATGTAGAATCACTACAGGTGACCCATAATCTGTGGGTGACTCTCCTGGTGGATGAGGGAAAGCCTGTTGATGTAGTCTACCTAGACTTCAGCAAGGCCTTTGACATGGTCTCCCACAGTATTCTCCCAGAGAAGCTGGTAATGCATGGTTTGGGCAGGTACACTCTGTGCTGGGTTAAAAACTGTCTGGATGGCTGGGCCCAGAGAGTGATGGTGAATGGAGTGAAATCCGGCTGGTGAATGGTCACATGTGGTGTTCCCTGGGGGTTGGTGTTGGGGCCATTTGCCTTTAATATCTTTATTTATTATTTGGACGAAGGAATTGAGTGCACCCTCAGTAAGTTTGCAACTGACACCAAGTTAGGGGGACGTGTCAATCTGCCAGAGGGTAGGAAGGCTCTGCAGAGGGACCTGGACAGGTTGGGTCGATGGGCAGAGGCCAATGGGATAAGGTTCAACATGGCTAAGTGCTAAGCCACAACAACCCCATGCTGCACAACAGGCTTGAGGCAGAGTGGCTGGAAAGCTGTGCAGAGGAAAAGGATCTGGGCATGTTGGTCAACGCTCTCTTGAACATGAGCCAGCAGTGTGCCCAGGTGGCCAAGAAGGCCAATGGCACCCTGGTTTGTATCAGGAATAGTGTAGCCAGCAGGACCAGGGAAGTGATCGTCCCTTTGTATTCTGCACTGGTGAAGCTGCACCTCGAGAGTACTGTGTTAGGCTTTAGGCTGCTCAGTACAAGAAGGACACTGAGGCCCTGGAGCACGTCCAGAGAAGGGCTATGAAGCTGGTGAAGGGCCTGGAGCACAAGTTCTGTGAGGAGCAGCTGAGGGAGCTGGGGGTTGTTTAGTCTGGGGAAGAGGAGGCTCAGGGGAGACCTTATGGTCTCTACAACTACCTGAAAGGAAGGTGTGGGGAGCTGGGAGTCAGCTCTTCTCACAGGTAACTAGTGACAGGACTAGAGGGAATGGCCTCAAGTTGTACCGGGGAGGCTGAATTTAGAAATGAGGAGACATTTCTTCTCAGAAAGAGTAGTCAGGCATTGGAACGGGTTGCCTAGGGAGGTGGTGGAGTCACCGTCTCTGCGGGTGTTCAAGGAAAGGTTGGACGTGAAGCTTAGGGGTATGGTTTAGTGGGTGACGTTTTTCGTAGGGTGATGGTTGGACAAGATGATCTTGAAGGTCTCTTCCAGCATTAATGATTCTATGATTACCTGAGTCACATAAGACCTTTTATATTTACTTTTAGTCGTCCCATTTGAAGGTTTCTTTTACATTCATTTTTCTTAAGTTAAAATTTATACTGATTTAGAACATTTTAGTTGGCAAATAATATTATGCCCCAGTCTAGTGGGACACTTAAGGAGAGGTGTGACTTACTGACATTGTACTCTAGGTTTGTACCTGCTGATTTCTGTATCGTTCCTAGAATCAGTATTTCACACCCCTAGAATCAGTATATCACACCCCTTTGATTCTGGTGTTCCAATACAAATTTTTATTGCATTCCCAAACATTGCTGCATTTTGACTTGTTCAGCATTATCCTCCTAGTCCTGAGCACCAATAAAACCATATTTTTCTCTTGCATTGTTCATGCTCTGATAGTCCCCAAAGCATTCCTGCTTCTCTCTGTGGCTGATGGTAGCTACAAGAATGCTTTTTAAAAAAAATTATCATGGCTTTTTCAGTCTTGAATATGTAATAATAATGTGGGGTTTTGTATTTTTGCATATAGTAACTATATCTGTCTTGCCTACATTGCTTTGACCGGAGAAAATCCTGGTGAAGACCTACATTACTCATACTGTGCTGAGTAAGATGTGCATTTGGCTCTGTTGACTTGGTGTTCTGGGGCACACTGACAGAAGAAAAAAACAATTATATCACAGTGGCAAAACAACAGGTTTTGCTGCTGCTTCTGCTAAAGCATGAGAGCTTAGTCCCAAAACATTAAAATCAAGGGAAGGATTCCCTTTGTTTTGCTCAATTCTGGGTCAAAGCCACCAGATAGAGGCACAAATTTTCAATAGGTTAAAAAAGCATAGTAACTTTCAGATTATTATTTCTGTATTTAAATGAAGAATAATAGCATAGATTTACCATTCCCAACCCAGCTATGCTGACATACTGAGAGTACAGAGCTTTAGCGAAAACTCTGAAGAAATATTTGGAAAAAATAATTTATTTGTCAAAACCCACAGTATTAGGGAGACTGCAACTATTCATGAGTAGACAGTAAATTTGAAAAATAGGGCAAAGGAAAAATCAGGGGGGACATTTGTTTAAAAAATATATACAAAAAATTTGGACTTTTTAAAAAGCATTTCATTTAGAAATGTAGCTTGATGTAATTTAAAAATACTGGCTTAACCCAAATCAACTGCAGTAAATGTTCCCTTTTTCCCAGTATAAACCCTTTGCCTCCTTCCCCAGTTTTCTAACTTAGCCAGGCAGGAGTTTAATTGCCCAGCTGTGATTGTAAGGAAACTGTTCAACCATGGAAATTGCCATTGACTGCTTTGTGGCTGAGCCAGAAAAGTGAACCACATATACTCCTATTAACTTTTAGTCTAATCATTTTTTCTGCATGTTATGGAGAGTCATGCATACAGACATCTGTGTTTAATAGAATGAAGTTCTGAGAGCACTTCTTGATTCCCTTTGCTTTCATCCTCACTGCCAGGGTTTTTAGCACTCACCGGGAAGAATTAAGGTGCTTCCTCTCCTGGCTCTGCTGAAAGGCATATTGTTTATTACATGTTGATGCAAATTAAGCCATCTGCCTTTGTTGTGACAAAGAAAATTAGACTTTGCTGTAGGAATAAAAACTCCCTAAGATTGGAAAGACCAGCTCCATGGGCACATATTGCCTGGCTGGGGATTTGAAGATGTGCCTGTTCATGGAACCAGAGGTCTCTCAAACCATTTTTAACCACATTGTAGCTCAACACCTCTATGGGATGCCCTTCACATCAGTGGAGATGTAATAACTGCAATGTGACATTTACTGTGCTGTCTCTATCACTCTCACCTCTCACATGCCCCCTTTTGGACATGAGGAAAATGGGAGCAGCTTTAAGATTTTCCACTCAAGCGCCTGTCTCCTGCTGTCACCATCTGGCTACCTTGGGGAGCTGACAGTTACTTTCTGATTCAGAACGACCATCATTTTCACAGTTCCAGGACCCAAAGAGGCATCCTCACGTGCCAGGAAGGGACATGGAGGTGGCAAAGCCTCACTGGGTCTGCATGAGCACACTTCATCTGGGTCTTCTGTACTGCACAAAGCATTATTCAGCATAAAAAGGCCCACTGTGTCCAGCCAAAGGTTGGTTTGGTCCACGCCTTTTCTCTGCTAGCACCTAGAGCAGATACTTAAAAAAAAGTTCTGAGGAATAATATAAATCTGTATCTATCCAAGTTTCAGGAATCAGTAGGACAGATGTCTCAAGAGGTATAGGCTGCTTTGCAGTCCTTTCTTCTCTGTGTTTTAAACCCACCATTGAAAATTTTATTAGGTGCCCTCTAGTTTCTGGATTATGGGCAATAGTTGTTAACCTTTCCAGATTGGCTTTCTCTATGGCCACACATGATTGTCAAACTTAACATGCCGTACGTGTTCTCTCTTTCATGTTTTTCCCAGGCATGAAAGTCTGAGCTATTTCATATCTCTTTTGTGGAGCCATTCCTGACTTGGACACAACATGAGATTTTATGTTCATGATGCTTCCTCCCTTGGGGACAAAATAGGATATTAGAACTGTATGATACCCAAGATAAAGGTATGTTATGAAGCAATATAACTTGGCATAATGATGTGTGCATTTTTTTCTTCTCATTTTGTTTCTTAATCATTCTAAATATTATACCACTATTTTTTATTCCTGTTGACAACTTAGCTGTTGTTTTCAGAGAAGGATGTAGAGTAGCACTAAGTTAAGTTAGCCAATATCCTGTTGTTTTCCTTGTACACCTTAAGTTGTTTTCTCTATGTACATAACTTTGCATATCTCATGACAATATTAACAGCCTGGTACAGCACTGTACACAGAAACAGCTGCTGAGATTCATCTGAGCACTTAGTTTTCCATCATTGGTTCTGTCAGGAATAGTGGAGTATGCAGACCGGTCAGAGAATGAAGTGAATGAGTAAAGGCATCTGAGATCATCACTCCTGGACCTGCGGGTGGCAGACAGTGTAAAATGAAAGTTCGCCACAATTAGCAGCACAGTTAGAGACATTTCTGTGCTGTTTTTTCTGTTTGTTTGTTTTGTTTGTTTTGTTTTCTTTGGATACATTTTTATTTTTTATTTTTTTTCAAAGCAGCCTGAGAAAACAGTGGAATTGTATCAGTTTCTCAACATACAATAGCAAATTATTTAGAAAAACTTTTAATTTTGTGCAAAAAGTTTTTGTGCTAACTTAAAATCAAAATGAGAAATTTCATTTGACCAAGTATATAAAAATATTTATTTTAAAAACAGAATTAAAATGAAAAAATTAAAATGAAAATTGATTTGTAGTTAGCCAGATTTAAGTGTGATGCTGTGAAAACAGAATACTGCAGAAACAATTTCTTCAGAGACATAATCATCCAGTTCACTCCTGACTTCACAAAACAGTTTGATCTGTGAGGCAAAACTCAGGAGGTCCATAAGCTAGCATTGTACAAATTATCAGGTGAAAGGAAGGCAAAGATCATATTTTCACTTATGTGAAAAGCCACTGAAAACCCACTCTGATGTGTTGTGTGGTAGCAGACAGGGAGTGAAGGTTCACCCCATCCCAGGATGAGTGGGGTAAATTGCCATAAGAAATGTCTCCTTCTTTGTATCCAGTACCTTCTCCATAATCCTAGCTTAAGATGTTTTAACAGACCTAAAACACTTAACACAGGTTAGGTAATTAACAGGGCAACACTCAGAGGAGCAAACCAGGCACTGGAATTTGATTGATACATCAGATAATTTAATCTCTGTAACTGATTGCTCATCTTTGTGAAGTGAAATAACATCCCTTCACCTCACTCAAGTTTTGTGAAAATTCACCCATAGAGAGACAGGGAAAGGCTTACACATTGTAACACCCAGTGCTGCTGCTCCCGCTTGGAGGTGTAACTGCAAGACAGACAGAAACTTTTGCTTGGTTCTTGTCTGATTCAGTAGGTATTGGATTAGATTATGTCTGGTGGAACAGCTTCAAAGAAATAGATAGGGCAAGCCCAGCTGCAGCTGGTACTCTTTCATCCTCTGCTTTGATTTGTATTTGAATTAGAGGGGAGAGAGAAGTTTGAATGTTTTCTGGGTGGAGAGGGGAACCACACATGGTTTCTGTGTACCTTGTCTAGGACCTCTGAGTCCTGAGCTCTCAGATAAACGGGAATCAACGCTCTGCTCTTCTGTTTCTCTTTTGTGAAGGGACTGTGCTCTAGCAGTCCTCAGGGAAAGCAGGCTGGGGAGCCATGAGTTTGCTTATTCCAGTGGGGTCTAGAAATGAAGAAGCAAAGCACTCTGCATAATCAGGAAAAATATCCTTGGAGCATGCCTAGATACTTAAGGATATTTACTGACAGAAGTGGAATAATCAAGACCTGAGAACCTGAGACAACTTCCAAGTGAGGTGGAATCAGAGAAGGGATTTTGAAGACACAGTTTTTGCACTCTAGAAGATAAAGTACTTCTGTAGATCTAGACCAAATATTCAATCACTGGTGCCTTGCTGAAAGCCTCCAAGGAGCTTAATTATGTGGAAAACATAATGTGTAGCTGGGTGCTTAAATAGTATGTTACACAGGGTGAGGACTGAGATCATATGCGTAAATTCAACTGCAGGATGGCCTAGCTTTGACATACTTGAATGGAAACATTACCATAAGTTTTAGCTATATTGAAAATATTTTCTGTGATTGATGCTGTTTCAGAAAGGCAGTAGATGAGCATTGCTGGGTTTGAGCATGAACAGTATTTAATGTAACGGTTTTGCGTGACTTGAGTCTTCTCAGGGTAGGAGCTTCTGCATGAACAGGCATCATGCTATTGCCTCATGTTTTCACTGAATGTGAGAGCACGATTGTATTGCTGAGAATAATGATAACACTGTGCAACTCACTGAGTTTTAAGAGTCTGACAAAGGCCGTTAAAGATCAAAGCACATAGGGGGTACAGAAAGTGAGGTTTTCTAACATCTCCCAGTCCCACAGCCATCATTCAGGATACTCCCAGGGTCACAACACCCTTGGGAAGCACTGCCTTGGGTCAGAAGAAGGGAACATTTTGCAAAGGACTCCTGTGACAAATGGCTTATACTCACCTCCAGCTGCTTGCAGAGAAAAGGCTCTTCTATTTTTTCAAATCCATTAGGAACATAAGAAAAACTGCCAAAGAGATTATCTTCCTGGGAAATGGAGCACTGGAGAAGGAATGTGACATTTTAAAGCACATCTACTACACCCCAGCTGAGTCATGTCACTTCTAAATGCCTTGGAGTAGAACGCTTACCCACCCCATCATTAAATTATGAGTATTAATGGGACTTACAAGAGTGCATCCACAGGGAAATATACTTCATCTCTCTGTTTGTTTCCCTCATGATGACACTGTATACACTGTATGCTTTATTGGCAACAGATCCTTTTCATTTGAGATGTATAAAGCCTTATTTACAGCACAACAGTTTTAATTACAGATACCAGAGTGATAAAAGGGACAGAAAGAAGGGAGTAGTCCATAATTGTCTGTCTTTCTCTCTGATCAGCAGGACTCCACTCAGTTTCCTCAAAATTGGTCCCCAAAGGAAGGAAACATATATAAATATGTAAGATGAGATTTAATTACTGAAAGTGCATCAAAAGCTTCATATGTATCCTTTATTGAAACCTTCCCTGGGGTCATGATAAGCATCTGACAGAAAAATAGGCCACTAATTAGTAAAGAAAGTAAATGATATTCATATATGGCAATATCTGCTTTAATAGTGTTGGTATTCATTTTGCAATAAATGGTGCTTAAGGACAAGGGTTGAGAGATGGACCCCAAAAGGCCAAGGTGCTGGGTGAAAGCCCTGACCTCATGGTCAAGGCAGTGCTCTTGCAAGGAGTTGGCTCCTCAGCCTGTCACCCAGAACAAAACGGCGGTAAATCCTCTCCCATTACTGAAGTGGGACATTTAGGGCTCCCTTGTAAGAAATGGGAAGTACCTGTTGCTTTCAGTGAAGCCAGCATCCAATATATCTGATTTTCTGGTGGACACTGGCAGTTCTTTGAAACCAAATCCTTCACTGGGAGCAGATGTACCCACCTTGTCTTTTTACGTGGAATCAAACAAAAATTTCCAACAAGTTTTGAGGGTGTGTTTGCTCCACTGCAGAGCAGAAGCAGATTTTTGAGAGCATAAAATCACCTTTAGGTCAGAGAAATTGTTGCCCATGCAGGTGTACTTCTAAATTATTTTTCAGCTATAAGGCAGTGCTATGTCTCTGGGAATGTGGGCTCACTCTCAAAAAGTTCTACCCTGTAGGCTTTGTTTGCATGACTTTTCCTGGTATTCTCTGGTTGATTAGTCTAGATTGATGCAATTAGTGTAATTAAGTGTAATTATGAATTCTGGTGCAAATTCATGTAATCATATATTTACAATTTGTAATTAGGTAATTATAATATGTGATTAGCAATATAAAATGTAATGTCATTACTCAATGCTAATTAAATTACATATAAAAAAGATGTCCTGGACACACACAATGGATAATCTCAAAACATTCATTCTTTGGAAATATCTTTCAGAATTCCTTTCTGGATGATCCTGTTTCACGTATGGAACGGGGACCCTGCAAAAATCTGATTTTATGAAGCAAAAGTATTTCCTTATCTCAATGTAGACAGTTGAAAAAATGTCCTCACTGTCCACCTGTGTCTCCCAACCTCTTTTCTACATACTTTAAAAAAAAAAAAAAAGAGCTTCAATAAAACATGCAAAGAGTTAGCAGAAGTAGCAACAGAACAGTAGTGAGAAGTAACAAAGAGATTTATGTTTTGGAATATCATGATTTGTACTCCATTTTATTGGAACCATTTTTTTCTATGCAATATTTAATTTCTGAGTAGACTGTTTAAAATACAGCAATTAAGTGCCTTTAAATGTTGATCTCTGAGGATCCAAGATGAAGTACATGGATTTTGCTTGTGGATACCTCAGGGAAATCTTCTGGGAAATGAAATATCAATTTCATAATCATCAGTAAATATTATCTGAACACCTTCATTATCACCATGGCAGCATAAGGCTGCAGGTTGGACACCCTAGGGTGTGTTTACAAGGTCTTCTGTGGTATGTTCAGACTGCTGCCTTGGGGCTGGCTTCCTTTTACAAGAGAACACTGGACCTGAAAGGAAAGCTGTGTATGTGACCAGAGGTTTCCCTCTGAAGGATAAGGAAGTCTTCGTGCTAGAGCATATGTAGCATTTAGTAGTGTGCCATGTTTAGTCGGACAAACTGTCTATTTTGAATGTCTAGATGTCTGCCTGACAGACATCTTTGTGGATAAAGACTGATTAAATGGAGCCCATCATGTTTGCTAGACACCTTCTCAAGATACTGAAGTTATTGGTCAATGGATGATGATAATTGAGCAAAACATCACTCCTACTCTAACCTAGCCAACAATATGCATGTCTCAACCTTTTAGTGTAAAATCCCTCTGAATTCTAGGATTTTAGAATATCCCAGTAGGTGTTTCCCTTCATCTATAGGACCAAAAATGCCTTTTAAAATACCTAAATCTCGC